TTTCCATTGTTTACTTTGCTGATGTCTGTCGCACTGGTGACATCATCAGCTCTAACTCTGCGTGATGGTTTCCCCATACACGCAGCGACAGGGGGACAGAGGGCTCGCAGCTTGCCAGCGAGGAGTTAGACCCAGCTTTTTTTGCCAGTTGGAAGGAAGCCCTAATGCTGATTGTTAGCGGGTCGACCCATGTTTGAATAATACTTGCTAACCCGTTATTTTCAGTGGGAAAGAGGCTTAAATGTACTTACGGGTACATGTGATATTCTTTACTTCCCATTCCCCAGATCTGCATGTAACGGTGTCTTCTTTCTCTATTTGATACTTTTCACGACAACGATAAGTCACAGAGGAGTTGGCCGAGTATTTCTTCTTATATGCCACAGTAACAATTGCATTCTCCACTTTGGGTGGTGGACCACAGTGTTTAGAAGTAGCTGTAAGACATAAAGAAACATTAAAGAGATAAAACTCTCTTTTAATATGTAATATTAGGAGTATTTCACAATGATAAGGTTGACTCACCACGACAGATTGTTTTTGGAGTAAAATTATAGAAATTCCATTCTCCATTTAGACAAGTTATCTCGGTAACTTCAGGAGTGTATCCTTCATTGCATTGAACCACAGCAGGACTTAGCACGACATTTAATCTTCCATTGGAAATTTCAGGCGCTTCTCCACACATGTCTTTCTCTTTAGGATTTCATCGCCAAAGCATATATTTGAAATATGAAACAAGATTTTTTGCATAAATATTTTATGTTGAACAGAAATGGTTTTAAGCTAGCTCATTCTACAGAAAGTTTGAAAACAAAGCATTATCTATCCAAAAACCAAGAGTTATCTATAATTGATGAACATCATACTGTACAACTTAAATCAGTCTAATATTTAAATAGCTGGAAACATAAATTTCCTTGAGTTGTTGACAAAGGAAGAATATAGAGCAATTACCTATACATGGAAGAAGTTTTTCCCAGTCACCGTCTTTACATTTGGCCTGCCCCCACCAGCTTTTGGTAGGAAGTTTGTAATTTTCGTTACAGGCAAAGTACAAAGTCCCTTCAAGAGGACCAACTGCAAATCCATTTCTGATCTGAGGTTTTTCACAAGGTCCTGTAAATCATCAAGGCAAAGGAAGGAATGTGAATTTCTGAAGCCTAATTAAGTACAATGACATTTAAGAGTGCTTAACATGAATAAAACAATTAAATAAAAAAATAATAAAAGAAGAATAAAGATGAAAAATTTTAAAAGAGAGTAGCAAAACAAATGAAGTGTATTAAAGGAAGTAAATACTGCATTTTAATGTTTGGTTCTAGATCTGGGTGTACAGAGGCTTAAATTATGAGACCTGAATGGTCTGGAGGTTGATACACTGAGAACAAATCTGTGACTGATGTATTTAGGTGCTGATCCATTCACTGATTTATAGACTACCGGTAACAGAGGGATTTTAAAGTCTATTCTCTGAGCTACAGGGAGCCAGTGGAAGGACTTCGGAACCGGGCTGATATGCTCTACTTTCGTAGTTCGAGCGAGCACATGGGCGTCAGCGTTTCAGATCAGCTGCAGCTGTCTGATGGACTTTGTAGGCAAACCTATGAACACACTGTTGCAGTAATAAATCCTACTAAATGCATGGATGATTTTTTTCTAGATCTTGCTAGGAGATTAGTTCTTTAATCCTGAAAATGTTCTTTAGGTGATAAAACACTGACTGCCATTATGCACCTCCAAAGGTTAAAGTCTGAGTCCATTATGGCTACGTTCACACTGCAGGCCTTGATGCTCAGTTCCGATTTTTTTGTGAAATGCGATTTTTTTGCATTGCCGTTCACATTTCCAAATATATGCGACTTGTATATAATCTCCTGGGTAAACTGCAGTCATAGAACGCAGGTGGGGGGTTTCAGGTCAGAGGAATGCGACCTGGCCGTTGAGACACAGGTTGGATTTTGAAAAGATCAGATTTGTATCGGATTCAGGACCACATAGCAAAGTGGCCTAGGTCGCATCTGAAAAAATCGTATCTGTATTGTTCAGACTGCCATGAAAAGATCAGATCCAGGTCGCATATGAGCCAAAAAATCTGAATTTTGTCTCTTTGGGCTGCAGATTGAACGTAGCCTATGACACCAAGATTTTGGCCATAATCAGTGGTTTCTAGCTGTAGTAGTTGAAGCTGCGAGCTAACTCTGGATTTCTCATCTGAAGATGCTTACCTCGGTTTTTATTCTTATTCAGTTGGAAGGAAAATCTGGATAGGTAAACAATGGAGAGCAACATGGAAGGGAGGAAGGACAAAGTAAATCTGCTTTATTGATTTGCTCTTTTGTCTGTCTGAATCCTCCTGCCAGCACAGCGCCATGTTTACTGAATGCAAGCAAAGTTGTTTTGGGTTATTTGATTGATTGGAGTGGTGTGTTAAGGTCCGTATGTTGCACTCAGTGGTATCATGTAAATGAGTGTGTCGACCCGGGTATGATGTTCTCACCATATGCCAATGGGAGCCGGGCCGTTTGAGGGCGATTTTAACCCTAGTTGTTTTCCGAGTCATCTGACCCAGGTCGACACAGGTCACTGCCAATAAAAGCTAATTGTTCCTATCTTTAAGTGTTTTTTTTTTGGCCAGTGTGAAAGTGGTATAAAACAGCTAAATCCTTCTTAATCATAGCCATGGATGGAGTAACTTAGATGCTGAACAATTTCTTCTTAACTGTTGCTCTTGTTTTTTTGTTTTTTTTTTGAGAATTTGGGCATTTTAACTATTTATCTTTGCTAGAGGCAGTATTTTTTGAAGTTAATATAAAGGCTGCTTTTCGTATACCTTGTATTTTCTCAGTAAAGAACCCTTCAAAGTCACTGCAGGCCTTTTTAGATTGGAGTTTACGGGCCATGGAGATTGAAGGGTTTGTTAACCTGTCGACTGTGGCAAAAAAGGCGCGAGCATTGTTAATGCTTCTGTTGATAATCTCAGAGAAGAAAGATTCTCTTGCATCTTTTAGTTATAAATTATATCTGTGAAGTCTCTTTTTTTGTGAACTTGGTCCATTCTTTTGCCACCTTTGTTCAACTTTTCGACACTCCCTCTTTTCTTTTCTCACTGCTGGAATATTTCTCCAAGGAGATTTCATTTTCCCAGAGAAAGCGATTAGAAAGGAAGTTATCAACAACTCATCAACAGAGTTACAGGGTAAAGTGGAAGCAGAAGGGTAAGCCTGAGTAAGGTTTTCATTTAATCTGTTTTGGTAATTAGATCGCTGGGAAAGACAGTTTCAGAGTAAGCTGAAAATTGTATGATGGGCCAACATCAGTTAAAAACCAGAAATTTTAGAACCTATAAAGTGATTAAAAAAAAAGTCAGATTTTAGTAAGAAATTGAATGTCGCTAACTATTGATCTCTGGGGCCTTCTTAATCTTTCAGAGTTAATTTTAACATATGAAATTATATTTCCTAAAAGTAACAACCAAAACTTATTTAAGAAAATCTATCCAGTTGCAATTACATGGACTGTATAATTTGAAGTAATTAACTAATACCTATTTTGCATACCCAAATGGAAAAGCAAATGACTGAGTAACTGTACCCAAATTACATGTGTAAAGTGGCAATAAATGTTTATTGACTCTGTAGATGTTATTCAAATATAGTTATATAGTAAAATAAATACATTCAAAATTAACATTACCTCGGCAAAGGGGTTTTGGTGCCCAGCCATCTCTAGTACATATTGCTTTTTTATCTCTACTTGCAGGCTGAGAGCCTGGGGCACAGTCATATCTTTGACTGTCACCTAATTTATTTCCTCTCCAAGCATCAACAGGCTTTTTCAAATGCTGTCCTTCAATCCATCTTGGGCATGTTACCTCTGGAGTGGAAGTAAAATACATGTTTTATTCAAATGCTAAAATAACCAAAGCTAATCATTTCATAGGACAAATAAAACAGCAACACTAAGACAAAAATCACAAAATTATTTTCTGATGTCCTTTAACCTTCTACATTTTGATACCTTGGCATACAGGATGCGTGTTCCATTTTCCATCTTCTTTGCAACTAAGATCTGCCACTGTTGTTCCAGTGTCCACGATCCAGTATTTCTCCCCACACGTGACTCTCAGTGTATCTCCAGGTATGAATACATTTGTGTATGGAGGGTCATATGTTGTTCCAGTGAGTGGTGGCAGAGTCAGTGAACATTGTACAGCTGGATTCATTGGACATAAAGCATTTTTCAGTTTTTGTTATGAACTGCATAATGTAGACCTTCTTTGTTACTTCTGTAAAAAAAAATCTGCATTTAGATAATACTCACGTTTACATGCAGGTGTGGGGCTCCACATTGGTTTTCCTGCAAACTTTGTGCATCTTGGAGGTCTCTCATCAGCCGGTATAAATTTAGCATCACATCTAAAATTTAAGGTCTCATGTTCTTTGTACTCCCGAGAGCCGCTAGGGACACTTCCGTGATCAATGTGAGGAACGGAACATCTTATTTCTGTTCACATCAAGCGTAAGTTTAACCAGATGTACAAACCTTATGGACTGCACATTTTGTTTACTGTTGCAATTTGCATTGGGTTTTGGTAAACAACAGCAAATATATAGCTAGTTAAAATATACCATTTTCATTTTAGTTAACATTCTTCATCATCTGTTCTCGGGAACTGCATGGTTAAGAAATGTCTAATAATTTTCTATTCAAAAGACAGCTTCTAGCCTATTTATGCTTTCAGTACCAGAATCTAACAATACCTTTGCAGTTTGGAATAGGCCCACTCCACTCTCCATCTTCTTGGCAAAATATCTCCTGTTGCCCATACAAGATTTCATCCCTTGACATGCAACTGAACCGAACAACACTGCCAGAGGTGGCTTCTTCAACATCCCCAAACACCTGGACATTATTGTCCACATGAAAAACTGGACATTTGGTGGCTGTAAAGACAAAGATGGAAACTCAAAACAAGGTAAGCTTTTGTGCATTATAAAGCATTTAAGCACAAGGATATTCCCTGTGATAAAATAAAAAGAGAGATTTCAAAGTGTGGTATAAAATTAAAACATGCAAAATTTAAGCTCAGTCTTAGAATGAGATGCATTCATTACTAATTAATGATTTGATGAAGAGTTTATTCATGAAATTCTTTAATTCTTATGTAGATTATTTTTTACTACTTGTTAGGGTGTCTTTTCTTTAGTGTAACAATGTGTTTTTGTGTTATGTTTTTTATTGGTGATGTTTGTATTATTCTCAGCTCTTTGTATCATTGGATACTATTTGTCCTTAGGGCACCAGATCCCCAAATTATACCCAAAGAACATATTTCATGGCACTGTTTTATTTTGGATAAAGACCCCGTACATAGATCTTTGAATATTTCCCTCTCAGTTCTTGTTTTTATCTATTTAAATATGCTATAAATGTTTCCTTGTATTGTCATTAAAACATTTTCTATGTTTCCTTTGAATATGTCAACATTTTAGTTAGCATACATGTATTCATTTAATTTAGGTCTGGACTGCCATGTCATTATAAAGCAATTATGTAGATTATCTGTGTATTTTTTTTTTAAATATAAAAACCCTGTGAATTTATAGCTAATTTGGACCCTGAGCAGTGGTAACAAAGATGGAAATTCTCCAAAAATAAAGCCAAAAAATGCTAGAGTAAGAAGGATGTTATTTTTTTATTTTTTTTTTTATTGATCTGTGTGTAATGCATAATTCATAGTAGATCAGGAACTGATCAACATTAAGAAATATGATGTGTTGAACTAGATCTGCTGCTTTCACAACTTTTGTGAGACACTTTTTTATGAAGTAGAGCATTCATTCATAAAATTGTTTTTTTGAATTCTTTAAATCAAAGTTTTTTGCCCAACAGCGATGATGAACTGCAAGGCAGCATTCTATATTCAGCTATTGCAGTATCTAGGCAAGAGCAGTCAGTCTGGTAAAGAATCTGGTTGCTATTCGAAATTGTAAAGGTTAACTTTTTTTGCAACAAAAATCTTACTAAAACTAGACTAAAATCTAAAAGGTTTTAGTCGACTAAAACGGACTACAACTATCTCATATCATAATGACTGAAATGTAGCTAAAACTATTAATAGTTTTGGTTCTAAAGACTAAGACAAAGGCTAAATCTAAGATGGCTGTCAAAAACAACACTGATATCTGGTCCCATTACTCACTATACACACCTGCTTAGCTCTGCCCAGTTATCATTACCTGCTTATCTGATCCATCTGCATTAGTCTCTATTTAAACAAACCTTCAGACCAGCCATCACTGCCAGATTATTTTTGATCTGTTGGTGAAAATTATTCTAGCGTTCCTGTATTCTGATTACTTGATCCTGACCTGTTCTGCCTCTTGACCTCTGAGCCTGCCTGTTCCAGTCTGATTGGTTTGCCTGACCTGTCTTCTGACTCCTGCCAGATAACTGCCTGTCTGTGTACCTCTGTACTTGGAACTGAAACCCGACTCTGTCCTGGATTCTCACTCAGCACCTCACTGTATTTCTGACCTCCTGGCTCTGACAACTGAACGCACCACTGACATCGGGTTTGGCTTCACCCTCTGGATTATCCTGCCTACATTCATCTGCTACAGTAGGTTCTGATCTCCTTCCTGTCCTCTGACCACCGACACAACAGTGTCTGGGACTGTCTGTGCAGAGACTGCTGCGCCGCGTTGGCAGCCGACCAGCTTGAACCATCCTTACCTTCTGGGCTTGGACTGAACTATAAGACCAGGCTAGTGAGTCACACGGTCGTTATCATCCACTTCCAGAAAGATGTGGTCACTAACCGGTTGTCTCCTCCTGAAGAAGTTCCCGCCTTAGATGGCTACGCTGCTCACTTCAGTTCAGTTTTCAATAGATGTTTTGAAAAATCTAACTGTTTGTTTGCCTTGAATACTGGATCCTACTGTTCTGAGCCAGACATGTGAGTAGCACTGAAACTAAATGCTGCCTCACTCTGTTAATTTTTGATCCTGGGAACACTGATTAAACAGCTCGCTGGTGACCTGAGGGGTGTAAATGGCATCTTAGACCTAAGCTTGAACATTCTATGTCAATGTAATGCAATAAATCAAAACTCCAATATTTTTAAGTGTTTTATAACAGGGGAATTTAAAGGTTTTTTTTTCTATATGACAATAACTTCCTCATCTATTTTAATGACTGATCAACTTCAAACACAGCTCATACCTTCACACACTGGAATGTTTCCATCCCAGCCATCTGCTGTGCAACGCCGCCGATTTGTTCGACTGACCATGTGATAACTGGAAAAGGTTTTCAATAAAACCAGTAAAATAAAAATAATAGATAAAATTAAATAATGAGAACGGTTAGGTTGCAATTTTTATCATACCCTCTGTTGCACTCGTAGACAACTTCTGATCCAAAGACAAAATCTGTTCCCTCGTTAAGTCGAAAATCCGCAAATTGGGCATCTCCAGGATGACCGCATGGTTTTGCTTAACATGTAGGGACAAGAACCAAACATGAATAAATATCCTGAGATAAAAAAAAACCTGAGAAAAGGAAGGATTTAATTTTAAAAAGTTTCTAACTTACGTTTGCATTTTGTGCCCCTAGGCTCCCAATTCCCCTCAGTGCAGATTATTTTGAAAAAGCCACTGTAGCCAACATTGCAGGGTATTCTCACTTGTCTTCCTCCTGCATAACTGGATTCCAGACCACTTGTGTCGAAATTGGAATCATAATCAGAGCTCTTTAGAAACTTTTCAATTGTACAGTCTGCGGGAGGGCAACATACTGTTATTGAACCTTCCTATCAAAAATTTATCATCAATATCATTTCTGAGTAAAACATTAAATTAATAATAATAAAAAAAAAACCTTACCTTTGCTTTCTACAGAGGTTAGTAAATGCAGCCACAACAGCAGGACACAGCTTTTGGCTATCATGTGCATTTTGACCTCCTACCCTGAACTACAAAACAGAACAAGGCACCACAGACAGCTACACTGTTATACAGAGAGGGAGCTCTGGATTTCACAACACAAAAAAGAAAACAAACTTGCACAATGATTGCACAAGTGGGTTGAGACTACACAATCACAGATGAAAGGAAGTGACCACAACAAGCTGAATAAAGCACTGGATTGATAGAGAATTAATAGCAAGACTAGATAACACTAGTAGACAAAAATAAAACCTTTATATTCTTTTTAAATATGGGTTATGATAAAATTAAATAAAGGGAGTCAGTAAAACCAAGCATTCTTGTAAAGTTTTGTTTGTTTGTTTTCTCCATTCCTGGTAATCATTTGCAGAAATCAATTGAGCAAGCAAAACCCAGTGAGATATCTTATTCAGCTCAAGTGTTATCATTGTCAATTTGATTTGATTTAAAATGTAAAGTAGCATAATTGAAGTTTAAATACTGTATATTTAAAATACACTACATATATATTAAGCTTTAAAGAAAGAAACAGCTGGCAATAAAGTGTGACAAACACGCAGAATTGATTGTGACCTGGTTATAAGAACAAACAAAACTGAATGTTCCATTGAGCAATACAGAAATTACCCACCTTTCTCTCAATACTGCCATTTGCACTTCTTTGAATTAGATGGTACAGCTCTTAGTTGCTTAAAAAATTACATGCACAAATAGAAAAGCCTAAAAACATCTGTTGCAGTGTAGTAGCAATAAACTTGTCAGCAGGAGAGCCCTGCTCAATTCGAGTGAAGAAAAACATTAACTTACATGCACTATGTATTGTTTTATGCACTTAATGAAACCAAGGTTTGGATTTTCTATCTCTACAACACCTTTTGATAAGGTTAATTTGTCTCTTTTCTAGACAGGGTAGTTTGTATGGGGTTCCTTAAACCCATTACATAAAAAGCTTACAGTACTGAAGCAGGTTAGATACACATCTTACATAGACACATGAACACAAAAGAACCATGGACATAGTTTGACCCAAAAAATAACCCCATAATCTAATTGGAAATGTGTGAGCTAAGCAGTGGCGGCTGGCCAATAGTGCTAGGGCGCAGCCCAACCCACCCAATGACCTTGAGACATAAAAAAACAAATATAAATTGAATAATAATATTCAAATATTTCAAAATATATTAATATATTTTTTAGATGTGCAAGAAAAATATTTAATCTCTAATAACGGGTAATGGTAAAAAAAAAAGAAGAAAGAAAAACAAAACATGTAAACGTTTTTTTTTAGATCGATCACATAAAAAAAAAGGGTTTTCATTTTTAGGATTTTATTTAGTGCTTTTTTTCTAGTGCTAACCCATATCCTCTGCTTCCCAAATACTCGGCTGTTTTATTTGATAGACAGTGACCTCTTGAGGTAATTATCAAATGTTACAACAGAATGCTTTTCGATCACTTCATTGCTTTAAAAAATATTATATCTTGCATGTACTTCATTTGCATAGTGCCTGCCCCCTATGCACTACATATTTAAATCAAATTCTGATATATTTTTTTTTCTTTATATTTTGTCAAAAAACAAAGATAAATTATAAGAAACATGGGCATAAACATTAGTTGAAATCAAATACATTAGCAGAAGAAGAATATGAAAAGAAGGTAGTTTTTGAAACTAAGAACTTAATTTTTATTATTCATTGTTACAGAAATATGGCAAACAAGATTTTTGTCATAAGGGATTAATATACATAGTTGAGTATATATCCATTTGATATAATTAAAATCTAATTCCTTATTATTTAAAGTGATATGTTTCAAAGTACGGTAGGCTATTTTTTCATCCATCGCCGTATCTTCCTTACTTTTTCTTAACATGGTTAATGACTATAACCAGTCACCAGCTAAAATTTGCTAAGTTATAGAGCTTATTTGATTACATGCACATGCATAAATATTTATTTTTTATTTTTCTGAGATTTTTTTATTTAAAACCTTTGGTTCTTAGAATGACAAAAAATTCAGATCAAGATTTTTAAATGTTGTGTACACTGGGTTTGTTTGTTGGGGTAACATTAAAGGAGACCACACAAGGATTTTCTGATTAAATGAAGATTGAATTTTATACTACAGAAATATAACCTGAAAAGAGAATACCGGTACCTGAAATAAGAAACCAAAATAGATTAATGCAAAACCCATAAGTAACCAGAAAATAGCAAATGCAAAACAAGATACAAACCAAACCAAATAGAGTTCTGAGGAGGAGTGGAAAAAGCGTTTCATCTGCTGCATGCATAGCAGCTTTAAAGCAGCAGAGCACCAATCAGGGTAAAACATAACACCTGCAGAGGTGTCTCCCGAACCCTACAAGGAAAAAAGGGCAGAGACCCACAGAAGCTGTAACATATAAATATCACAGAAGTTTGATAAACTTCAGCGAAATGTATTTTCATAAAATCCTAAACTTTGTATTAACCCTTCAGTGACTTAAAAAAAAAGAACAACTTTCAACTTTGCTGTAAGATGTTTACCTAAAACGTAGTGTTATAAATATGTTTTCAGAATCAGAATCAGAATTAAGATGTTTACCTAAAACGTAGTGTTATAAATATGTTTTCAGAATCAGAATATCACAGTTATAATGTGTAGATTTTTTTCAAAGAGGGGGAGATAGATGTACTGTATATGTTACCTTCAACATCTCCACATCAGGGATGACAAAGACAGCACTGATAAATGTACTTCATTACTTAACCCCTGCTCCAGTTAAGCAGTCCTGAAAAAAACAAACAAAAAAACTATATAATGTCAAATTTTATGTGTTTCCTTATATGCTTATGATATTTGATTGCCAATTTACTCAGGTCCCCTCCCCGATCTGACCAGTGAGGATATGTTTGGCTGCATGTCGTTATTTAACCGCTTGTTGTCTAGGTGGTGTCCTGAAAACGACGCGGCATCCTCTTTGACGAATTTTATTTTGTGGTCAACCGAGTTGATGTATCTTGTGAAAACTTCCACTTCTTTCAGCTGGATTTTGACACCAGGGTTTCTCCTACCGCCATCTTTAAATGTTTAACTTAGTTTGCAAAGTCTTTAGAGTTTTCTATGTGATGTGGTGTGTTTCCCATCAAGGGGGCTAAAATATTAGTAAGCTGTTTAGTAATATTGTATGTTACTGAGTTAATGCTGCTGACAATGGGTCTGAGTGGTGTTCGTTCCTTGTGAATCCATATAAATATTCACCTTCAGTATGGGTGGATTATTAAAGGAGAATATTATTTAAATCACTGGCAAATGCTGGCTGGCCTGTCTGAAAGTCACATTTGTTCATATTTCACAATGCAAGGAAAATTAATTAATTCTCTACCATTTATTCACCATTTATAAAGGTCACCATGCAGATATACAGTAGTCATTCAAGCCTTTCTCTCAGTTCCCAAAATTTCCACAAGAGTGCAGAAGAGATCCATAAGGTTTCTTAAGCCCTAAGCTGTAAAAAAACGTTATTTAAACAATGGGGTGTAATTCCACAAATTAATTATTACTTTTTAAACTAAAATTTTAATCTAAACACATTTGTAAAGGAACTAGAGATGCAAAGAAAGCTCCAGGTAACAATTTATTGTTTGGTTGATGAGTTGAGAAATTTTGTAGCAGAAGTCTTCAGGAACATGAAGTAACATATCCACATATCTTCTGTGCTCCATGACCCAGGCTATTCATTCTAGGGTTCAGTTTGTTTGACTACCTGTGTTCTAACAGCAAAGGCAATACCTGTTTTTATTTTTGTTGTCATAACTTGTTTTGGAAGGCTTGCTAAAAAAAAGCAAAAGCACAGTTTTAAAGTAGTACATGCAGAAAGAAAGTTATGCAGCATATTCATCAGCCAAGATAAGTTAATGCACATTTTATTCAGTATCTAAAATATTGTTTATATGAAGCCTCTGATTTGCAAACATAAAAATAATTTTATTAAACTTATTTAAATTTAATCCCAATAATGATTTGTTTTTTGTTTTAAGGTTTTCACAATTAAAAGTTGCTCTTTATTATAATTAAGTAGTAGATCATGTTGATCATTATCTCCTTGTTAATCAGTCTATCAATCGTACTCATTGCTGTTGTATTTATTAGCACAACTTCTTCCAAAGTCTGTTTGTGAATATTGTTACAGCATTTAGCACGTTGGGATAAGATAATCCTCGTCTGTTTATTTAACAGGATGAACATGATTATTTGAGGCCCCAGTAAATAAGCAGCTCAGTTCCCTCCAAGGACTCTGGCTTAGTACCAATAATATACAGTAAGCAGTAACAATAATTTATCAGGTTGTTGAACTGTGTGTCTCAAAGAGGGAGAAGCTCATTCGGCAGCAATGTTAATGACTCAAGATAAGATAAGACTTTGCTGTGGCTGCTTCTCTGGAGAATCTATTCTCATTCATGTTCCATTATTTCACTTACTTTGAACCTGTTGTTTCTAACAGCAGGAGAAGCAACAAAAGTGAAGTAATTCACAACACAAGTCATCTAAAGGCACTTTAAAGTTCACCAGATAATACAGTCAAATTGATTTAAAGTTTTCTATCAAAGGAAAGCCAGTTGATTGCATCGACTCATTGACTCGAATGCAATCCCTCACACTAAGCATGCTTGTAGCGACAGTGGAGAGGAAAAACTCCCTTTTAACAGGAAGGAACTTGCCCCTCTTCCTCACCGCCTCAGCCGTATCTACACCCACAGCTAGTTTGTGATTTTCCCTCTTGCGTTGTGGCATGGAAAAACATAGCACAGACCACACTTCAATATTGGGCATAAATCAAAAATATCTGCATCAGGCTCACTGCGACACAATGCTGTAGGAGAATAACCAGCGCTTTAGTCATGGGAAATGAAATGATGGATAGAGGCCTCATTTGTATCTCATTATGTTAATCAAGAAACAGCTCATGAGTAATTCTGGAAACCTGGCAGTAAGGCCGCCACTCCCCAAAGCAGGCTTTAGAGTGAAGGGTCTTGCCTACGGACCCAAACTGGCAGCTCATTCCCTCCAGCTGGGACA